ATTTGGCGAGTCTCAAGCAGCGAAAGTAGGCGCGAGAAATTAATGTCGATCCTGAGATCTCAATTTTGGCGCTAGTTTCGTTTTCTGGTACATCACGACGACTTGCTTGGGTCTCATGTAGCTCGACGGCTCTTCGACGGCTCTTTCTGGTTGGATGCATCAGACAGTGCTATCAGTCAACAACGCAATGCCGAGAGCAGGGCGGCCTTAGAGCAGGGCGGCCTTCGAGCAGGGTCAACTAAGCTCCTGCTGCATATCGAGCATGGAAGGCGGCCATTGCTCAAAGTAACCTGTTCGAGTTGGCCTCCGGGAACCAGGGTGCGTGGCTGGCGCGGTCTGTTTCACGTGCAATGAGGGCAACGCCATCAAAATCGCGAACATGGGCCGACATGCCTCCGACATTTCTCAGGGCTCGGACGGAAGCTCTGCAGACAGAGCCAGACCGCTCTGCGCGGTCGGACCGACTTTTTCAGACTTTTACTATTCTGGATACTGAGGGTATGTGCTGCTAGATCTCACTGAGCTGAGCTCGTATCTGCCTTTGGTATAAGCAGTTTTGAGTTCGGTAATGTCTCCGGAGACGGAGGGCCGCGTCCGCAGACGGCCATGACGTCGGCCGGGACCGCCCCGTGGGGGCCTTCGATGGCTGTCAGCGCTCCTCCGGGCTTTTGCATCACCCTCCCATTCACACACGTAGCTGAAGCAAGTACTCGTAAAAACGGCGCGTCAAATGCAGCATCCAGGCGTCTAAAGAAGACGACATGAATGGTCACAGAGAATGTGTGTTCAGACCTTTGCGCGGGGGGTGTGAACAGCCATTCCGCGTGGTTGAGGGGTTGAAGGGGTCTGTCAACCACTTGGTTGAGGGTTGAGGCTGCCTCTGTCAACCACGTGGTTGACAGTTGAGGCAATCGGTCTCAACCACCGCTATGAGTAGATTGGATGCCTGCTCAAGGTGAGTGCTATGGCGAGCGATGACGAAGGGTTCGCGCTCAGCGTGACGAGCAAACTCAGGGAGTTCATGGCGCTCGGATACCCTGCACACGTGCTCAACGGGGTGATCGGACGCGCGTTTGCTCGGACAAAGGACGAACGGCTCCTACGAGCAAGACAGTGTTCGCAGTGGTGAGGAGGTTTCTTGCAAAACCCTTACCCAGACGAACCAAAAAATCCAAAAAGACAGACAAATGTATTGTGTCGGGCTACCGTCCAAAGGCGGGTGTAGTCGACCAAGGGACCACGAATCTGGTCTGTCGACAGCACGAATTTGGGATGGGACACCTTCGGGACCCGGCTGCGTGCTACTTGGATAGCACGCTTTCGGAGTACCGACGGCTAAGGCCGAGGCAGAAAAGGTTTCTGTTTTTTCTCCGCTTTTCTTCACAGGATTTTCCTGTGAAGAGAGACGTAGAGAAACAGATCTTTCAAACTCGGTGTCGAACCACCAGCCCGACGCTCACTACAAGTGTCCCCGCTGTACACAGCCTTGTTATTAGAAGAAAATACCTGCCATGGCGCTGTGCGCTGGCCTGTGAGAGGTTGAGGTGCGAGCCCTGGAGGCCCTGGGGATGGGGGGGGACTACCCGCGGGCTTAGAAGGCCCGCGCGCAGGGGGGTGGGGCATTGAGACCGGTCATGAATGAGTGCGCGACACGCATGTTGCGAGCAGCGTTGTTGATGTTTTGCGCATCGCCACTGACGGCGGCGCGCGAGAGCTGTTGCGAGTGGTGTTGGGCGAAGCCCCGGGCGCTGCCGGAGGCTGTGCCGTAGTCGGTGCGGTCGACGGCGCTCGGGCTGCCGACCTCTTTGGCGAAGTTGAAGATGATTCTCTTGGTTGGCGGCGCGATGCCGCCCTGGCTTTCGACGAGACAAATTTTGACGATTCCGTTCTTGACATGGAGCGCGTCGTAGTACTGTCCCTTGTGCTCTTTGACCCAGCCTTTGCCGGTCGCATGGACGAGCGGGCCCTGTGACTTGTGGCCGCGCTCTTTGCACCCAAGAACCTTGAGCAAGGTTTGGTCGAGGGTGTTGCCGAAGCCAAATTTGTGGCCCAGTGACGCACAGCATCCGCCGTGTGCCGCCGAGCCCTGCCCAGCCTGCCTCGTCTTTGTGAGGGCGCTAGGCACCTTGACCTCGTAGTGGACATCGCGCTGGGACTGCAGGTCCCCGCCGATCTCACACATGTCGGTGACGTGCCCCTCGTTGAGATGGAAAGTCGTTACACACTGTCGAGTCGGCCCCGTGAACCTTCACGGGACCTCACAGTCTGCTGTGAGAGCCCCTGTGTGAAGAGTGCGTAGAGCTCTAAGGGGTTGATAACAAATCCTGGCGCACGAGCGGTGTGAAGGGTAGTCTCACCCCATCCCCAGGGCCTCCAGGGCTCGCACCTCAACGAGTGTGTGTGTGTGTGTGTGTGTGCCTCAACCTCTCACAGACCAGCGCATAGCGCCATAGGACGTATTTTCTTGTCAATAACAAGGCTGTGAAGGGAGCACTTTTTCGCAACGCTGTGGTAGTGCCTGATCACCTGCTGCACGAGCGGGTCGTTGAGGCACGCGTCATGCTGACACCTATGCCATAGGCTATGGAAATCGTGACACACGCTGGCCATATCTCGGTCAGATCTCGACTAGATATCGGCTGAGATCTCGGTCAAATCTCGGCCTAATCTCGGTCGTATCTCAATCAAATCTCGCACACCAGAATTTATGCGGGAAATATGATGAACGACAGGAGGGAGAACGACGAGAGTGGGACGACCGCGAGGTGGCATGAAGGTTGCAGCGAGAATCGGCGAGGGACTGCGAAGAGAGATAGGAAGAGGCAGACGCCCAAGGGTGGGCGACGGCTAGCACCACACTCCTCTCCTTAAAATCCCTGTGTGGTGGCGGCGTGCCGTCCTCCCATCCCTCCCTTGGGTTGTCTGTTTTCTTTCTTTTTTTACCGATTATGACAAGCGGATTTCGGGCTGGCGGAAGCGAGCTCCATGACTTTGATTCCTCTGGGGGGGCGCGGGGGCCCCCGGAGGCACCGTGCGCCGCGCCGCAGTGCGGAAACGGGGCCCCGGCTCTATTAGTCTCTATTAGCACCGACTTCCCGAATGGTTACGGTTGGTTAGAGGGCAGATTTGGAGAGATCTCGAGGAGTACATACAGATAGACCCTCCAACCATCAGAAAACTCCGACCTGATCGGTCGTACTGACCGCCGTCCGCCGACAGATCACTCCAGACAGCAGACAGGCCAGGGGACTCGAGGTGACGCGCGAGCAGAGACCTACACACCTCCACGCGCTCCGCACCGCCGCGCCGATCTTCGCGCGGGTGGCGCGCATGCGCACCCAGGCCGCTCGCGCGCCGTCGCGCAGAGTCGCGCGTTGCTGACGCAAGAGGCCGTGGGCGAGCTGCTCCCACTTGATCGCAGGAGCAGCCGCAGGTGCCGCAGCCTTGTGCTGCCGGAAGTTCTCGAGCCGGCGCGCGCGGCTGGCCTTGCCGCCGCGCGCACGCCGCTTTGGCGCCGTACAACCTGGCTGCCCAAATATCTTTCCCACCGCTCGCACGGCTCGTGTCCAAGTGTCCCTCTCAACGTGTGGGTTGGGACACGTCCCTCTATCTAGCGCGCTCCACCACCCCGTTGATCCACGCTCGACGCTCGGTCCTGTGGTGTCCCATTCTCTCCCGCTTGCAAAAGCTGATTTGCGTAGGAAATCCTAACTAAGTAAAGTGTCCACGTCCATGTAAGTATGGTGTATGGGAGGTCGGGTATCTTTCCAAGTATGGTGTATGGGAGGTCGGGTATCTTTCCAGGTCCGATCTTGGCCAACCTTACGCGCCCACTTGGGCTTTACGGGGGCGGGAACTCAGCTCTTGGGCCACCGTCTCGGGTGTCCAGTAGTCCATATTTGTTATTTATTTATTTATAAAGAAAGAAAGAAAACAGACAACCCAAGGGAGGGATGGGAGGACGGCTATTTATTTATCCAACCTACCTTCGCGAGTTTAGAATTCTTTTTACGGATTAGGAGCCGCGTTCACCAGCACATCGCGTTTTGGAAGTTGAATTAAAGAACACAAAATTGCGTCGCAATCTGAAAGTTCGCGTGCCGTAACACAATTGCCAACAATACACCGAGATAACGTACGTCTCTCTCTCCCCGAGATACAAGTACGTACACCGACGCGACAACAGCAACACAATTGTCGGTTTCGGGAGGTTGTCGGTTCCAACCTATCGCGATACTAGTATCGCGATGCCTAGCAAGCGTTCGAGGGCCGTCGCGGCAGCGCTTTCCCACCCGGACCTGTCGCCCGCACCCGGGCTCGCCCTCGTCCCGGTCTTCAAGGCAGCCAGCGCGGCTCCGGCTGCGCCTTCCTCACCCCTGGCCGACTGGCCGGCGCCCACGGGTTAGCCCCCCCCCCCCCCCCATGTAGCCCCTCATTGCTGCCAGCCGTGCGCACCTTCCACCGCGTCTTGACGTGGCAGCCTCGTCTTGCCCGCAGGTGGGTACCAGACCGGGGACGAGCATTCCGGCATGCTCTTTCCACGCTTTCTCATGCCGGCCGCGCCCGCGGCGCAATGAACACCGCCGCTGCACCTCGGCTCACCCTGCGCGAGTCGCCAGCCGCGTCCTCGTCACGTGTGAGTGCACTCGTCGGTAGCACCCGCGTTGACAGGCGCCTGGCCTTGCGCCCGCCGCCGGCCCGCCCCCCGAACTGTGTCTGTGAGGCTGCGGCGGTGTGTGTGTGCTGTGTGGCGTATGTGGCGTATGTGCATCGCCTATGTGGCTGTGGAGGGGGGTGGGTAAACGCGCCAGTTTTGGTGGTGCATTCTGTGTGGTCCGTTGTGGCGCGTCTACCAATGTAAACCACCGAAATGCCGCTGCGTCGAGAAAGTGACGGGCCCCGGGAGAGTGGGGCCCACATCCAACACCAGAGCGGGGCAAAACGAATGCCGGAATGGGGGGCAGCCCACGCGACACGCGCAGAGGGAGAGAGACGTGGCGCTACATGAAGGTGGTCTCCCTCGAGGAGGAGCCGAAGCGGCTGCTCAGCTCGCCCATGTGCTGGTTCTTGAGCACCGAGTCGATCCCCTTGGGCTGCACCTGCCGGATGTCGAGGTCCGTCTCGCGGTTCCACGGCTTCCACGGGTGCGACCCCGCCCACTCGGCGCCGCCCTTCTTGGCCTTCTTCTCCTTGGCCTTGAGCTCCTTGTGCACGTCGACCAGCGACTTTGCGCCCTCGCCGCCCGCCCCCTCGCCGCCCGCCACCCCGGCCGCCGTCGCCCGCGACGGAGGCTGCGGCCGCTTGCCCGCCGCCGCGTTTGCCCTCGCGAGCGCGGCAGCCTCGGCCAAGCTCATCGGCCGCCCGGCGTCCGGCTCCTCCCTCATCCCGATCCGGGCGGGCCCGCCGCCGCCCCCGGCCCCGTCGCCTGCCCCCTCCTCGGACCGCGGCGCCGCTGTCCAGCTCGCGTCGGTGCCGCCGAACACCTCGCGCTCGTCGCGCGCGAACTGGCGCGGCCCCGCCTGCGCCGCGCCGCCCAGCCCGTGCCGGTCCGCGGGGAGCGACGTCATCCACGCCTCCCGACCCGCGGCGGCGGCGGGCGGCCCCTCCGCCCTCACCGGCGGAGGCGGCTTTGGCGGCTCGGCCGCGCGCTGCCACCACGGCGCCGGCTCCTGGGCGAGAAGGTACTCGGTCAGCCCTGCCGGCGCCGGCTGCGGGCCAGGCCCAGCCTCCCCGCCGCCCTCGCCCTCGCCCTCGCCCTCGCCCTCCGCCTCGGCCGCCACGCCGTCCCGCGGCGCCGGGCCCGCCGCCGACGGCGGAGGCAGCGCGGCCCCGTACACACGTCGCTGCGCCGGCGCCGGCGCCGCCCCGCCGCCTGCCTCCGCCCCGCCGCCCGCCTCCGCCCCTTGCGCCCCCTCCCGTGCCGCCGCTTCCTCGGCAGGCCCGAGGCGGCCGGCCGCAGAGGTGGCGCCGCCGCCCTCAGCGCCGCCGCCCTCGTCTTGACCGAGCACCGGCGCGAAGGCCCCCTCCAGCGGCGGCTGACCCGGTCCCTTGAGGAAGGCAACGTCGCCCGAAGGCAGCGGCGTCCGCTGCAGCCCCAGCGCGTCGCTCAGCCGGCGGAGCAGCGCCGACAGAGCCGCGTCCGGCCCGCCGCCGCCCTGCTCGCCGCCTTCGCCACCAAGGACGAGCGCCTCGCCGCGATCCAGCGTCCTCAGCAGCGCCAGCACGCCGGCCGCACCCTCGGGCTGGCCGGCGGCGAGCGCTCGCACGCTGTCCGCGGCGGCGGCGGCGGCGGCGCTGTCGCTCCAGAAGCGAGGCAGCGGCGGCGGCCCCGGAGCGCCGTCCTCGTCGGAAGGCGCGGCCTCCGGCGCGGCGCGAGAGCGGTGGTGCTTGTGCTCCTTTTTGTGCGTGTGCTTGTCCTTTTTCGACGACCGCCTCTCCTTCTTCTCCTGGGGCGGGCGGGCAGCGTGCGTCACAGAGTGCGGAGCGCGGGCGAGGGTGTGTGCACAAGAGGCGGACGGGCGGCGCGCCTTCTTGTGCTTGGGCCGCTTCCGACGAGGCTCGGATTCGCTGGAGGAGGAGGAGTTTGAGCGCGCACGCGCCATACAACCGTATGGGGCGCGGGGGCCGGGCCGGGCCGGGTCGCTCGTTTCTTTTCTTTTTGAGCTGCCTTCGATGTTTGAAAAACAACACCACCACAGCCACACACACACACACACACACACACACACACACACACACACACACACACACACACACACACACACACCACCCACCACCCACCCAAACGCAAGGCGGACATGGCATATCGCTCTCGGGCCCACAGACATCCCGCACACCCGCCGCCCCCGCGCGCGCGCCCCACCCCGGCCGGGAGAAAGGGGAGTGACAGTTTGGGACGGCGACAGACGAGATACCTCGCACTCCATGTGCGAGAACGCAGAGAGAAATGAAAGCCGTCCGGCCCCCAAGTCCGGCTCACGAGCCCCGAGCTGACCATCCATCTACCGCACTGCACACTTCCGCCCCCTCGCTCCCAGCCCATCCACCTCGCCGAGCCCGAGCGTTGGAATAAGGAGATAGTAACTACTCTCTGTGGTGCCCCCTTGGCACTTTGCTCGTGTCCCGCGTGACCCTCTGTCTCACATGAGTTTCTTCTCTCGATTGTGTCACGCCTGTCCTCCTTGTTCGGCTTCTGCCGAACAGCGAGCGTGCAGCAGCTGCTCTGGCTTTTGTACCTTACATCTTTGTACGATCCTAGCTCGAGACCCCGGCGGCCCCTACGAGGCTCAACGCCGGCGCTCTCGAGTCGCAACGCCGAGATATGCCGAGGCGCCGCAGAACCGCGCGATCTCGGGCGATCTCGGGCCGCGCCGCGCGATGTGCTCAGCGCGGAAATTTCTTTTTTGAAATCGCGTCCCCTTTAGAGAGCTGTCTGCTATAGGTATAGCCGCAGCCACTCCCAGCTGCTCGTGTGAACAGAGTTCGCAACTCGAGATCCCTCGAGAGTTCACGCACGCGGAGTCGGCTGGGCTACATAGGAATCAAAGAGATATATTTCCCATTTCGTGCACAAAGAGTGGCCCACAGAGCACAAAGGTGGCACCCTCGGCCAGCTGAAGCTCTCGACTCGTCGACCGAGCTCTGGACGATGCCGACCTCAAACCACCAGCGCCAGGAACGACGTGCCTCGGCTCGCCGCGCATCCATCTGTTGCGACCGACGACGTGCCCGACGCCGTCCCGCGGCCGCAAGGAAGAGGCCCGCGCAACCACTTCTGGGACCCGCGGCCGCCGGGCGTGTGGCGGCACAACGTGTCGAACGAACCGTACCAGAGCAGAGCGGCGCGTCTCGCGAGCGCCCGCGGCCGCCACGCCGCCGCCGTCCGCGGCCGACGGTGGTCGCGAATCAACGCGCCGCGGTGCACCGCTGCGCCTGCTTCCTTGCGCGCCGCTGGACGTCGGCCGAGAAGACCGCTTCCCTCTGGGGACCCGACTCCGCGAAGATCGCGCGCGCGTCGTGAGTGGCGGCGCGCGCGCGATCTCCGTTCCCGGGCACGCCGGTCGCAGTGACATGGGATCCCAGGCTCAAAAGCGCTCAACAGCGAGCTGCTCCTCCTCCTGCCGCCGCTCCGCTCACCGAGACAACTCGGTGCCGCCGTTCTCGCCGCCGCCGCCGCCGCCGCCGCCTCCGCCGCCGCCGCCGCCGCCGCCGCCGCCTCGCGCCTTGCCTCCGTCACCGCCGCCCTCCATCTCGCAGCGGCGCGTCCCTCTGATGGCGCGGGCTCCTCGCTCGTTGGCGCCTCGCGCCCTCGCCGCCGCCCCCCCTCTCGCCGCCGCTCCGCTCGTGGCCGCCCCATCCCCTGTCAATCCCGCCGCCTCCCCTGCCAATCCCCCGCACCACCGCCGCCACCGCCTCGCGCGTTTAGCGGGCCTTTAAGCTTAGGAATCCTAAATAGTAAAAATAGGAGGACAGCATAAAGAATTTAGACAATACAACTCTCTCTCCTATAAAGAAAAGAAACGCAATCGGCACTCCAAGTGCTCCAAGTGCAATGTCGAAGGTGCCACTTTATCAACCACAAAAAAGGCCCGCGCGTGCTGCGCGGGCCCGGCGAGCGACTAGCGAGCCAACCTGCTATAGTCCTACGAGAAAGTAGGCATTCGTTCGGGTGCCCACAGCCCTGCCTGCCTGAGTGCCAGGGGCTGCGTGAGTGCCTGCGGGGCTGCCTGCTTGAGTGCCAGGGAGGGATGGACGCGGCCAAGGCAGCGGCTCGCAGCCTGCTCGCCGAGCTCGAGCGGCACCGCTTCGACGCGACGGCGGGCGACGGCGACGCCACTGCCGCCGACGTGCCGCCGGCCGAGGACCAGGGCTGCTCCTCCGCTGAGGCGCTGCTGCTGCGCGAGGCGCGCCGCTTCGCGCCGCCGCGCTCTGTTTGTCCGTCGCGGGCCGCGGCTGACACGCCGCGTACCCGCACCTCGCTCGCAGGAGAACCGCCGCCTCGAGGGCGAGCTGCGCGCGCTCGCTGGACAGCTGAAGAAGGAGAGGGCGGCGAGCGAGAGGGCGGCGAGCGGCGCGGCGCTGAGGGCGGCCTCGTCGACGGAGGAGATGCGGCGCCGCACGGTGGGCGGCGGGCCGGCGGAGGCGGAGGCGGTCGGGCCGCCACCGGACGAGGGCGGCGCTGCGGGAGGGCTGACGTTGGCGAGCGCGGCGTCGCAAATAATCATGCTGCGGCGCGAGGTCAAGTACCTGCAGAAGCAGTGGAACGCGGCGCGGCGCGACGCCGACGGCGCGGCGCGGCGCGACGAGGTTGCCGCCCTCAAGGAGGCGGCGGAGGCGGAGGCGGCGCGTGCTGCAAAGGCGGCGGCCGCCGCGGCTGCTGCCGAGGCGCGGCAGCGGCTGCTGGTGCGGCAAGTGTCGGCGCTGAGGGCGCAGCTGGGCGCACAGCAGGCCCGGATCGCGCGTCGCTCCGCCGCGCAGCAGGAGGCGAGCGGCTTGCGGCTGCAGCTGCGAGACGCGAGCGACGCACTCGCTGCATCGGAGATCCGGCTGCGGCGAGATGTAGCCGAGATGTAGCCGAGAGGCAGCCGAGAGGCAGCCGAGAGGCAGCCGAGGGGCAGCCGAGGGGCAGCCGAGGGGCAGCCGAGGGGCAGCCGAGGGGCAGGCGAGGGCGGGAGCTGGGCGGGGCGGGGGACCCTCTCTCCCCCCCCCTCCCCTGCAGGCGCGCCTCTCTTCGGCATCAGCTGAGCGAGGCGGCGCCGCTCGGCGGCGGCGGCGGTGTAGAGGCGATGGTCTGCGTCCTCTCCCTCCTCGAGGAGGTGCAGGCCCTCGAGGCCGAGGCGCTGCACGCCAACCGCCGCACCGCCGCCGCCGCCGCGGCAGCGCAACAGCCTCCCGCCTCGCCGCGGTCGCCGCAGCAGCCGCCGCTCTCGCCGCTCTCGCCGCCGCCGCCGCCTCCGGCCGAGGCAGCGATGACGCCGGCGGAGCGCCTGACGGCCGAGGCGCTCACCCAGCGGCTAGCCTCGTCCGAGGAGGAGCGAGGCCGACTCGCGTCCGAGGTTGCTGCGCTGCAGTTCCGGCTCGCGTCGATGCAGCGCGAGCACTATAGCAGCAGCGCGCAGCACCCGCCGCCGCCGCCGCCGCCGCCGCCGCGCGCGAAGGAGGGCCACGCGGCGGCGCAGCTCAAGGAGGACGTCACCAAGCGGCTCGGCGCTTTTCTGAATCAGCGCAAGGGCGCCGCTGCCGCCAAGTGACCCGAAACCATTACCGTGATCGCAACCGCGCCGACCTCTGTTAGGGTTGTCAAACGTTAAGAGCTGAACCGTGTTGCTAGTGTTAACAGTAACAACAGAACAACAGTGGGGCTCCCCAACAACAGTAGCTAACGTTAGGCCGACTGAACAACAGTGTTGTAAGGAAGGCGGGGCAGTGACCCACGATGCGGTCGATGATCTCTCTAGTGTCCCCACTGTGTCCCCAGCTCCCCAGTGGTGCGGGTAATACCCGAAAATACCCGGAAAATACCAGGTATTTTCGGGTTTTACCCGGGTTTTTTGCCATTTTCTGCTTGCTGGCCGCTGAACAACAGTAACAACAGTAACAAACAGTAACAGCATGGGCTGGGATGAACACTTGAACAACGTTGAGGATTTCAGCCAACAATAGTGCAACTGTTAGGCCCCAAATTAACGTTTGACAACCCTATCCTCTGTATGCAGCAGGCCGACCTCTGTATGCAGCAGGTGCGATGAGTGAGGCTCGGTGGTGACATGCAAATAAACGGGCACGTCCAACAAAAACTGTAAACTCTAAAAACTGGGTCCGCGTAGCCGTAGAGCGTAGTACCCCCGTAGGGGGCACACGGGCACACACATAACAGATCTCAGATGACACACAACATGCACATGTGTGTCCGGTTACACAGTAAAATGTAGATAGCTGCGCGCGCTTCAGGCTGGTGCTCACGCGAAAAGGAATCGACGCGATGTGCAAAGCATACAAGAAGGGGAGAAAGAAGAGGAGGGTGACCGGTGATGACGAAACAGAAACTAGCGCAGACGAGAGCAGGGCAGACCCGGGGACTGGGGAGCCGGAGCAGACGGCATCGGCCGCCGAGGGAACGTTGGGAAGAGGCACGAGGAGGGCGGCGACCTCGACCGACTAAAGCCGTATGGAGGACCCGTCGCCAGACGACGCAGGGCAGAAGACGGTGAGGCGGAGCAGACGCGCAGGGCGAGACGAGGGAGGGAGCAGGACTTTGCGGAGATCAGCAGGAGGATGTACGAAGAGATTAGGAGCAGCAGGGACCCGGGGGACCTGGTGTGGAAGACGGCTAGTGCTAGTCCCCCATCGGGTTACGGGAAGGACGACCCCGGCTAGTCGCCGACCACACCCACAAAGAACCCTGCACAAAGATCGCACGGGCGGGGACCTGTTCCTTTTTACCCATCTCACAGTAGAGAGGTGTCCGTTTTTATTTATTTATTATTTAGCGGACCATGTCGCACAATTGCAATTTTGGCCGAAAAGGCGCATGTCGCTGCCCTAGATGGTCCTTGTCGCCGCCACCCTCATGGCCGCTGCCGCCGCCGGCGGCCGAGTAGCTGTAGTACACCCCGTGCTAGCGGCGCGTGGAGTTCAGATGCTCGCACGACCGGGCTGCACGGGGTTGAACTTGAGTAGCACAGAACCACGCACACATGGGGCCTGCTTGCCCGACTTGTGTCTGGGCCTTCGCCTCAGGCGGTGTCGAGCACGATGGAGGATGAGGATGGGCTGCACCCAAAAGTGCGAGCCGATACGAGAGATCGCGCTGCGCTGTGCCCTCGCTGGTCCCTCGCTGGTCCCTCGCTGGTCCCTCGCTGGTCCCTCGCTGGTCCCTCGCTGGTCCCTCGCTGGGCCCTCGCTGGGCCCGCGCTGGGCCCCCGCTGGCCCCCCCCTCCCCCCGGGTCCGAACTGGCAGCCACTCGCACCAGAAAAGGGCACTGGCACGCAGCCGCCACGAGAGGAAGCGAGAGATGTACTCACATGGGCGAGTGGTGACCTATGTACGGGTGTGCCTGTGTGTTGCCCGATGCAGGTGGGTGTCAGTTTCGCAGGCCTGCCACTTCGAACCCAAGAAGAGCTGGAGGCGATGAAGAGCATGCCAGAGCTTGGCCATGTGAGCACCGAAGACTTCGAGAGCTACTGCGTCGGCTGGCTCGAGCAGGGGCACCGCCCCGAGGTCTCTGACTGGGCGAGGGTGCGGTGCATCGACATCGCTGCCTTTGCTGAGTCCATGGATTCAGAAGCCCGATGCTTCAACCCGACATTCCCGCCCGCCGCCCTAGCCGACGCCGCGAGCAGGGAGTGGGGGAAAAAGATGTTTGGTGAAGTCGACCTCATCTATGTCTGGGCGCCCGAGGCCCCAGATGTGACCGAGTACGTGGAGCGCTGGGACAGGTACTATGATGGGCGCGACGGGGCGGAGCTCTGGATGGAGCACCGATCCCTTTTGCTGCAAGCAGCGGAGCAAGCCAAGGCGACGCTAGCCGGGGCGGAGAGCGACCCTTTTGCGCATCTCGAGGGCGAGCCCATGACATTGAACAGGGGCTAGGCCAGGGCTGCCTGCTCTCGCCTACACGGAGTAAGCTCATGCTCGCGGTGATGCAGCGAGCAGTGAGCAAATTGTGCCAGGGGTTTGAGTTCACTGCGGCAGGGGAGAGCGTGCCGCAGCTGGTGTCTGGTAGATGACCTCTCGGAGAAGAGCCGAAGGGACCTTGGCACCGGGGTCACGAGGAACCTGCAAGTCGTGGCCGAGGCGGCGACGGGAGCGGTGCAGAGGTGGATACAGCTCAATGATGAGGCTACGGCGCGCATAATGAAGAGAGAGGAACACATCGAGTGGCTGAGGAAGCTCTTCGCTGGGTGGAAGGAGGCCCGCCCGGCCTTGAGGGAGTCGCGGAGGAGGAGGGATAACGGAGGCAACGTGCAGACAGGCCAGCAGCCAGCGGGACGAACGAGGACCGCGACGGCAGCTCAAGCGGGAGGGAGCGGAGACAGTGGGCAGCGAGCGAAGTGGGTGAGACTGATGATGCTCCTTCGACTCAGGGAGCGGTTCCGCTGCTGGGCGAGCTTCAGGGTGGTGCTCACGCGAAAAGGAATCGACGCAATGTACAAAGCATACAAGAAGAGGAGAAAGAAGAGGAGAGGCGCCAGTGATGACGAAACAGAAGCTAGTGCAGACGAGGGCAGGTCAGACCCGGGGACGGCGGAGGCGGACCAGACGACGGCATCGACCGCCGAGGGAACGTTGGGAAGAGGCACGAGGAGGGCGGCGACCTCGACCGACTATGGAGGACCCGTCACCAGACGACGCAGGGCAGACGACGGTGAGGCGGAGCAGTCGCGCAGGGCGAGACGAGGGAGGGAGCAGGACGTTGCGGAGATCAGCAGGAGGATGTACGAAGAGATTAGGAGCAGCAGGGACCCGAGGGACCAGGTGGAAGACGGCTAGTGCTAGTCCCCCATCGGGAGGACGACCCCGGCTAGTCGCCGACCACACCCACAAAGAACCCTGCACAAAGATCGCAAGGGCGGGGACCTGTTCCTTTTTACCCATCTCCTAGTAGAGGTGTCCGTTTTATTTATTTATTTAATTGCATGTGCATGTGCACGTATATGTGTGCTGACAGTGTTCTCAGTAGCAGGTGCCGGGCGTGGGCGCCGTGCCGCCGTTGGAGGCCGCGAGGCAAAACATGTTGACCGGGAAGGCCTTGAAGGAGGAGGATATGGCGTCCGCCTCCGCAAGCACCTCTGCCGGCGCGCTGGACGGGAGCGTGAGAAGCAGCATGTAGAGCCGGCTCTGGTACACGGTGAGCTTGGCGCGGGTGGTCGTGGTGCTCCCGGCAAACTCGTACTCGTAGTAGGTGCTCCCGCGAACCGGGCCCGGCACGGCGGCGGCGCGCTGCACCGTGCCAAACCGCTCCGCGTACCGCCGCCCGACCTCGTCAACCTTGCCGAGATCGCTGAGGAACTGCTTGCCCTTTGCCACGTCCACAAAGACGTCGAGGCTCGCGGCAGCGCCGCTGCTCCTCTCCGCACGCAAGTGAAAGCGGTGCTCTGGCTCTGCACGCATGTCTGCGGTCGACGCCTTCCACGCGGCCGGCAGCGTCACATCCCACGACTTGTCATCAGCCTGCAGGTAGCCCGGGAGGATGGATTCGCCGATGACAGCACGCGCGGGCGCAGCCGGCGAAGCAAGCAGCGCTGCGAGAGGAATCGATGCGAATTTGAGGGCAGCGGCGCGGGAGAGTGATGCGGGAGGTCGTGGCCGCATATTGGAGGCGCTTCGTGTTGCGTTCGCTGCAGGGGGAGCGAGGGGGTGGGCGGAACCAACCCGTGGAGATTTTTTTTTCTCCAGTTTTCTCTGTTTACTCTGTCCTTGGCACCGGTGTGGGGGGGGGGGGGGGGCGACAGGGAGAACGTGGCCCTGAGTTATTGTCGCAGGAGATTGTGGAGAATGACCTCCAGACTGACCCGGAGAATCACCTCCACAGACCTCAGCACCCCTATTATTATCACTCTCTCTCTCCCCCCCCCCGTAGTGATGAATAGTCTACCTATATCCCTATATTCCCACACCCTGTGCGGTGGCGCGTCTACCTAGACCCCTAATATTAGCACCTTGGGCGCCGAATAGGCGCCCAAACATTGACACGTAAAGTTCCCCAACTGCGGTCGTTGCGCCGCGCGCTGCGAGACAGTCAACCCTCTTCATGTGCTAAGTCACAGCCCCCGGTGTCGTATGACACCATTCCCCCAAACCACTCGGATACGAGTTCCTTATACCAATCCTACAGTCGTCTGAGACGGCACCCGGAGATCAAGGATGGCTTTGCAGCCTCACCCGCGATCAACAATACCGCAGAGCCGCGCACACGGCTCACCACCACCACCACTTGCTGAACACCGACCTTCGGGTTCAGATGCCGATCCCTTTGCAAACGAGGGAAGAGGGACGCCTCGCGATACTACGGAGGGCCTCGACCAAGCACGGTCAGACCACCCTGATCGTTCCCTACACAGTTATGTGTACGCCAACTCAGGGCGTGTGGCAGCCAGCTGGCTGTCTGTGTGCCGCTCATGCGTGTGTCGACATCATCTGGTCTAGCGTCCACCCATACCGCGCTGGTGTCCAGTCCGAGCCTGGCTGTTCTTCACCTTCCCACCTAACCTAACCTTACTCTCCTATTTTACGGTACTCTTTGGGCCGCCGCTTTCAGTAGTTCTCGCTCGCCGACTACACAACAAAACATCTCTCTCTCTCTCTCCCTCCCTCCCTCCCTCCCTCCCTCGCCGCTCTCTCTCTCTCTCTCTTGCCGGCTGCCCGTGCTAGTTCGAGGTTTTCTGCGGGAGTGATCCCAACGGACGGACGGGAGTGATCCCAAACCTGGGACCGGACGGACCTAGTCGAGGACCTTGCGTGGGTGGGTTGAATGGGGCTCGCACGCTCGCTGAAGGCGATGTATGGAAGTAAGTAAGTGAACACGCCAGAGAGGGAAGGCGAGACGATATCGAGGGGTCCCGTACCACGCGGAATCGACCCTATCCAGTGCTCAAGTGCTCAAGTAAGTAAGGCGCCCGATCCCCGTAGCCCCCCCGATCCCATCCCCCCCCCCTCTCGGGGCCGCCTCCGCGGGGGGAGCGCGGCGTTTTCTTCCTTTGTTTGGCACTCAGGGTAGTTTTGCCGCCCGCTGGTCGCCGCCGGCTTTCGTTGATAAGACAGACACATATGGTCTCCACTCGGCTCCACATCGATGACCCCCTCTTTCGCTCCGCCCCTTCTTCACACGAGAGTCGGCACGAGCGGGCTGCAAGGCACCCTCCCGCGGCTCCGCCCTGGAAGTCCAGAGGCGCTGGCTCGCTGATGGCGTTTCGCATGCACAGCGGTTGGATGATGGCTGGGAGGTGGGCACACCAAAAGCACGGCACTTTGCGACGAGTCGCGGCACTAGCAGCGCGGCGCCGCGATTTGCATTGCTCGCGAGCTTCTCCCTTCTCGCGCTTGTGGCTTGGTCAAACTGGCCGGGGCCCGAGCCGGGTCCGCTGCCGCTCCCGGCAGCACAGCAGACCAACCCCCCCCTTCCCCCTTCCCTCGAAACCATGGTGAGGGTCGTCGAGATTACATTTGATGTGGTCCCAAACTCCTCGCTGGGTCGTCGCGCGCTGCTCTCAATCGCCCACCTCACCTCGGAGGATCTCACTGCGATGCTGCGAGACGCTCTGCCTCCAGATATTGATCAATCGGCGGTGCGGCTGATTCGACGAGGGGGCGGTTTCTCGGTGGCAATTTCTTCGCCACGTGTAAAGACTTCCGACGTGCTGCAGGGCATCCGCTCCCGAGCGTTTGCTGCAGCTGTCCGTCAACACGAGATGCGAATCGACAATGTCCGGGTGGATGACTTTCGCATCCACAGCCTCGATCCGTTGCCGCCGCCGCCTATAGCCCACATATCGCGATCGGTGTCGCTACTGCCGTCCCTGTCTCCGCCTGTACCGTCGCTACAGCCGCAGCCCGCGTCACTGCCGTGGCCACCATTTCCGCCACCATCTCCGCCGCCATCCCCGTTGCCGCCCCCGCCGCCGCCTCCCTCACAACCATCACCGTCGCCTCGGCCGCCGCCCCTGCCGCCGCCTCCTCCACCTCAACACCCGCCCCCGCGCCCGCCACCGTCCCCGCACTTGTCACCGCCGCAGTCACCGCAGTCACTACTGCAGCCTCGCCCGCCGCCGCCACCTTCCCAGCTGTCGCCGCTGCCGCCGCCACCACCGCCGCCGCTGCCGCCGCCGCCGCCGCCGTCACCACAGCCGCTCCTTTCATCGCCGCCACCGCCGGGCACGCCGCGGCGCGCGTCAGTCCAACCTTGGCCACCGCCGCCACGGGGCACGCCGCGGCGCGCGTCAGTCCAACCGCCAGCCAGCGGCGGCGGGCCCTCCCCCACCTGCTCCTGCAGCACCCCTTGTACCGGAAAGCCGGGCACGCATTGCAGAAATGGCGATGTTGGGCGTGGCGCTCCTGGCCTTGGCAGCCTATCTGCTGCAGCGGCGGCGGCGGCGTGAGCTCGACCACGCCACCAAGCGTGGCATGGGTTCGTTGGAGAGCTTGAGGCGAAGCGACGCCACCGACTCAAGTTTGTCATCGAGCGCGTCATCCGAATGCGGGCCCGAGGAAGCCGCCACAGAGCGTCACGATGTCGTCGGTTGTGTGAGCAGAGAGGCGGCGCCGAGCGCGTCGCCGTCGGCCACGGTGAAGGGGAGTGCACCACTTGAGAAAAAAAATTCCTAACGCGAAAAACCGGCACACCAATCTCCCTTCCTCTCCCTATCCTTTCTTGGAGCTCTAGAGTCCACACCCCCCTGCCCCGGGATCGCGTACAAGCTGAGGCTACCGTAGGCCACACTAGCGTCGCTGGGGGTTCCCTGCCCTAGATGGGAAGCTGGCCGCTGATCCGAAGACCGACTGCACCAGGGCGCCTAGATATACTCAAGGTGAGCGAGGGTGAAGTTACGCCTTAAATGCCTGTCTCTCTACTGTGGACCTTACTCCGAGCTCGACGGCTCCTCCTATTCCCCCACCCCCCCTCCCCCCCCACTCTCTCCGAGTAAGGGCGTGCGCTACGTCCCCAAGGGGGGGGGGACGTGGGGGGGAGGTGTGACTTTTAGGTTGTAGCGTTTGGGTTTTGTGGGGCACCCAAACGGTTTCGGTTTTCCTCCTTGGTGCCCCGAGTAGAGCGCGATCTCCCCTGGAGTCTGTCGCGCCCGTTCTGTCTAAGCTCGAGGTTCAACCTTCCAGTTGATCCTTATCGGACTGGTGAGGTCTGCCTAGCCGTCGTAGTGTAGTGCCTGGGGTGCGTCTGCGTCGGTGCTACACACACACGGCAGGACGCTGCTGTAAATCGTTGCTGCTATTTTTGTTAAACGATTTTCGCCTGGTGTTTTTTCTTTTTATGCTTATGGCAGTAAAAAGAAACGGAAACGTGTGCGGCAGGCGCGGGCTCGGTCGATATCCCATACTTTGACTCACATCTTCACTGCTGCGGTGTGTGCCCGGGGAGGCGCGGCGGCGGGGTGGATTGAGAAGGTCTCAGAATGCAGAGAAGCTGCAGGCGTGCAGAGGCGCGCGCTGCAGTTTCTCTGATCGGGCTGCTGGCGGTGTGCGCGAGACGGCGTGGTGAGGCGTGAGGCAGGCTATTGTAGTGGGGTGCGGGCTGCGTCTAAGCGTATGCGTGCACATGGTGCTGTATGCTGTGTGTGCAGGCAGGCTGACAGGCTGTGCACAGCAGACTGGGCGGATGAGCGAGCGCGCGTGCGGGCGTGCGTGCGCGCCTGGGCCTGCGCGGTGCCGTCGCACTCGCGGCGCGTCCTAGTACAGCCGCTTGTGGGATGCCAGAAGCAGTCTGCAGAGCCTGACAGGGCGCAAAAAGGCGCAGGTGTGCTGGTGAGGTGTGCTGCGGCGCGCGCGTCGCGGCGTGAGTGGATATGCGGCTAGCTCTGGTAGTGCGAGGGGCGCGCAGCTGGTGCGGGCGGCGCGGGACGGCCATGGGGCGCCAGCACAGGGCAGACGCACATGGCACAGCTCTGAAATGGCGCTGCGCGTGTTTGCGTGCGCGCGGGGACGTACGCGCAGTTTTCACGCGGTGTGCGTGGAGAAGGGCATGAGAGGCGCCGGCCGCGCGTGTGTTGTCGTGTGGGAGTTCGGAGTATGCCCGGAGGGCGGGGTGGTTTAGGGCGACTAGACTTCGCACTGGCGCCGGAGGCCCCAGATATGAAGAAAAGTCGTGCGTGTGCACCACTTGAGCACTTGAGCGACTGGATAGGGTCCTCAGGGCTCAGGGGTCGAGGGGGGGGGGGGGGACACCAAAGGGGGGGGGGGCTGCCGAGAATGTGGGTTTGGGGGTGATGACACGGGGAAAAAGTGCGAAACGGCGCAGCGAAAAAGGGGGAAGAACGGCGCGGAGGGGGTAACAAAAGAGGGGCAGCGAAAAAGGGGGAAGAACGGCGCGGAGGGGGTAACAAAAGAGGGGCAGTGGAAAAAGGGGGAGTGCGGGTCAGGAGGCCCTAAAACGGCGGGAGGGGTAGGGGTGCCGCTGTAGGGGTGTGGAGGGGTCGGGAGGGCGGGAGTGTGGACCGTGACCTAAAGCCCTCCACCGATAGAGGTGTCAGGCGGCAGGGCCCAGGAGGGGTGGGGGCTTGGAGGGCTGGCCAAAAGCGAGGCGTAGGAGGGGTCCAGTGGGCTAGAGAGGGCTGGAGGGGTCGGAGGGGGCTAGAGGGGCCGGA